CAGACAGGGCAGGGTGAGTGTGGAGGTTCCTGGAGGAGGGAACGCCGAGGGTTCTCTTCCCAGGCAGCTAGAGCGGGAACTGCTGCTCGTGTCTTCCCAAATCCCTGCACCTCATGAATCAACAAAGGTTCTTTTGCAGCCTCTGTTTCACCAGAATACCGGAGCGTGCGTGCACATACACTTAATAATCCTGATTAAAACGCTCACGAGAACAACGTCATGGCTCAAGACCTGGGCATAAATCTAATGGTCTTATTTTGCTTGTGCATCAGTGCCTATGAGGTAATCGGTGAAGCAGGCTCGAGTGTCAGACGGGGTGTATTTAGTGTCAGCACGGACATTAGTTACACTCTGTGCTACCGGAGGAGGCCTGGACTTCTTTCCTTAGGAGCTAGAAAGTACCTTTTTCAAGACTGAAGCTTTGTTAAGCATCTTTTAACTCTGGATGAAGCAAAAGGGCATCACCTGCACCTTTTTGCAGGTCCCTCGTCAGGTTCACTCACCACACAGAGCTGCTGAACGCGCGCCAGCAGCAACAGTTGCTTGAGCACGTTTTGTTTTTCTTGAGGCGTTCTCTCTGCCTTGGTTAGTGCTAGCTCTACTTAGTGCTTTGCTTTTTGTGTCCAGCAGCACTCCGTAACCTAGAAGGAAGGGCGTTTTACGTTTTAGTGATTCTGTGCATGGGGATGCTGTGCACAGAGAAGGGAAGTGAGTCACCCAGGAGTACCTGCCAAGTCATCAGCAGCACTGGGAATAGACTCCAGTTTTACAATGGTGCCTGTTAGTTCCTTTACCAGTCTGTCCCTCTTGCTTTTAAAGAACTGAACATTTTCTTGGCTTCTGCATCCCCGGGGGGAGGAGGGAAAAAACATTTATTTCCTCATTCTATTAATGTGTTTGTAAACTCTTCTTTATCCAAAAGGGCTCCGCGTGACTGTTCAGTGTCTGTGTAAAGCACTGTGCAAATCTCTAGTGCTGTATGCTCTTTTCTAATATTTATGCAAGTGGGGTTTTCCTCCCCTGGAGTCACGTGCTTATCCGTTGCCAGCGATAGGAATTGCTCATCTCTGGATTCTGTTTTGCCTTTTGCAGGATACAGATCAGTGATTAAAATTCTGCCCCGTGTATGTGTTTTGGTTTTGTTTAGGACCAGGTAGTGGTTGTAAAGCAGAACCATTTGCTCTTTCATATATTGCAAAATTTGTAGCAGACGCATACTCGACTCCTCAGTCTTAGGGCAGACGGAAATGAGAGGAGTGCTGTTGTGTTTTGACAACTTTTCTCCCATCCTTGTAGGATTTTATTGCACTTAGTTAATTTTATTTGGAAGATTTCTTCCTGATGCTGCTCTCCACCTTGTATAAGGTTGATACAGCTGGTTTTTTGGGCGAGAATTCTTAAAACCCTTCTTCTTTGGGGCAGCAGCCATTGTTGCCATGCTGTTGTTGTTGCTATGGCTTTTGTGCGTGTGTGTTTGTGCCACCTTGGGATTGGTTAGCTCTGCACACACCAGCTTCAGTTTGGGCTGCTCGGTTGGGGAGGCACTGCTTAATTCCAGACATTTTTGAAATACAACGTTCTTGCCCCTCCTGCACGTGCATGCTCCGTGAGGCCCAGTTCAGCTTCCAGCAGTCACGGGATAGACTTTCCCTGGCGATGAGGACTGGACTGGGCGTCAAGCGAGTTAAAATAGAAGATTAGCCCTGAAACGAGATGGGTTGGCCTGTCCCTTTCACGTCTCTGCTCGTGTGGGATTGATGGTCTTAAGCTAACTGGGGTGTTCACTGTTTTTCTCGTAATAACACACCGTTTGGTCAGCTGGCAGTCACGGCAGCGTATTTCTGTTGATGCAATGATCCACCAAGTTGGTGTTTCCTCTGGCTGCGGGGTGCAGGGATCGATGGTGTTAAACGCAGCAAAGGAAATCAGAATTGTCTGTTCATTTAGAGCCAGGAATTAGATATATCCTTGTTAAAGCAGGATTGCTTTCTTGCTTTTCTGACCCTCCTCTTCGTTACCGTGCAGGGATTTTTGCCTTCAAGTGTTCCAGAGCAGAGGAGATCTTTAATCTGCTGCAGGACCTGATGCAGTGTAACAGCATCAACGTAGTGGAAGAGCCTGTTGTCATCACCAGGAACAGTCATCCCACGGAGCGGGAGCTCTCCCGGACCCCCCAGGCACCCAACAGTAAGGCTCCTTCAGCGTTCGGGGAGAAGAGGGAAGAACAGAGACGTGGGCAATGTCTGCAGTTCCTCACATGACCTTTGCAGCCCACGGATCTCTCCCAGACGTTGCCTCGCTGCTGACCCGTATCTTTATGTCCACGTGTGCCCCGTGCACCATGTTCGTTTTAAGGCCCCGCTTGTCTGTGATGTGGTATTTTGTTTCCAAGGAAACGGCAACAAAAAGCCCTTCAAAGAGTCGACGGAGGTGTCACCCTTCAGTTGGTTTGACCTTTTTTTGGTCGCGCTCACAAAGATCAGGTGGCTCCTAGAGGAAGCCACATCTGGAAGAATTCAGATTTGCTCAATTCCTGTCTCTGTTAGGAGCGACTTCAGTAGATTTAAAGACAACTCTTGTGTTGGTAGTAGGTACTTCATCACAGGCATCTTCCCCAGACAGGCTGATGTTGACTTACAGGGTGCAGTTACGAGGCCAAAATGAAAACTCCTCTTTTGTACCGAACCAATGCTCTAACACGTGCCTGTCTTGACTCTCTCTCAGGTCTGGGGTACACCATCCCAGGACTTCCCAACGGATTCCACAGCTTCCCTGGAGAAACCCTGTCTTACTCGGCAGCCCGCCACCCCTCCGTGAGCAGCCTGAGGCATTCCTCTGTGGGTGAAGACTCTACTCATGCCCTTATCGGGCCTGATGAGCAGGTACACCCAGATGTCCTAAATTCCCCTGTCTGCAAGCAATGAACAAGCAGCTTGTTTTGCTGGCAGTCCTCAGCAGTTCTGGGCTTCTCTTACTCCAGCAAAGCTGAGGGGATCCTCATACCTTGTCATCCTTTTTTTTCCTCTTTTGCTTCATTTTGCTCTTGTAGACTTCTGCTCTCTGACACTTCACCAGGACAGATGCTCTGTCAAGGCTGACGGAGTTGACTTCCTTGATCCACGAGTATTCGCGTGGCAGTTATTTAACAGCAGCACTTAGCTTGTCAGCTCTTGCTGCAACCCCTAAAGTGACGTGTGTATGTGTACCCAAGTTCCAACTCTTTTTATTTTCATTTTTGATGTACAGCTCTTTGTTCTCAGTTATAAAATTTAAGATTTTTACCTCCCTACAAAATCCAGCTCGTCTCCACCATTATCGGAGAAGCCTGGGCAGCTGTGAGTGCTGCAGTACCACCAGCATAAGCCGCTCAAGGAGATCTTTTGCAAGTGGCTTTGCTTTTTGTGTGAAATAGATGATCTGTATCTTCTGCAGTTGGACTTCATTCTCTCTCTCCTTCAGCCCACAAACCCAGACGGGACTTTTTTCATTTTGCTTCCCCAAATCTTTTCCACCTCTGAAATGATTTCATCTCCTCCTCCTTCATCAGCCACCAAAATAATTTTCCATTCCCGTTGCTTTCTCAGCTGCTGATGGCTGCTGTGCTCTTGTCTCTTCTCCTTTCACTGTCCCTCTGCTTCTCTCCTTGCAGTCTCACACCTACGTCAACACGGCCAATGGTGATCAGGAGCTGAGGGGCCGACACTGTATGCACTCCTTGCCTGAAGTCCACCCTCCTTTCCCCCATAGGAACCACAGCTGCTCCCTTGAAGACCGCAACCCCCAGGTCTTTCTGCAGCCAGGGGAGGTTAAGTTCGTGTTGGGTCCCACGTCCAACTACAGACGCGTCTGTCGGCATCCCCGGGAGGGCGGGACGCCCTTCTGCCCCGCCAACAA